AAAAAAAAAAAAAAAATTCAGACGGTTTTAATCTGATTTGAAATTATACTAAAACCGTTAAACCAAATCATGTTCATGCCAACAAAAGACCATGCCCTGTATTGATAGAACAATTTGTCGAGGCTATCCAATGCGTAAAAATTCTGGTTAAGAACAATGTTTTAAAATTCGACCCGGTCATTGACCCGAAAAAGAAAAAGGGTCAAATGTCAAGATATTGAATCGAGATCGAATCGGTGATTTTCTAAAAAATTAAAAATTTACATTTAAAAAAATTAAAAATATATATATTTACATAAGTTGGATAAATTAAATCGGGAACAGATCGCGGGTTTTCCAAAAACAAGCTGGTTTACAGGTTTTTAATTAAATGTTTTATAAGCCTAATTGAATTGATTTTGGTCCCGATTCTTGATTTTTCCGATTGAATCGGCCCGGCCAGTGTAATTTTTAAAACACTGGTTAATAGTGCTGCTTAAAACGAGTGGTGTTGTAAGTTGGTTTGTAACTACGATTGGGATATGCCAGGCTTGTCCTTGACTCACGAAGGTTGGGTGAGTATTCGAGGCAAGTTTATAAACAAAATGAATTACACGTATTAAAAAACACTCTAGTTAAAATCGATTTGCAATAGAAGTTGAAATATATTCTATATAAACGTCCTTTTCTTTGACAAATAAAACTCTCGTAACAAGAAAATTAGAGAATGATGATGTGCACGAGTTAAAATTTTTAAAAAAATAATGTCGAAATATATGTTATAGAAAATAGAGAATTGATATGTGACGATTGTAGTTTCTACACTTATTTCGGGCATTATTTTTCTACTAATTTGCATGAATTGTCGCTTGTCTATTTATTTTTTGTTAATTTTCTTTTGTTTTTAGTACGGGTTAAGGAGGAAAGTGTTAGAGCAAAACATAACATAATTTTATTTTTTAAAATTTTTTACATAATTTAATTAATTTTTCTCCATAACAGTGTATTATCAACTTTTATAAAAATATATTAAAATCTTATTTTAATACAAGGCAAAAAGGTCCCAAATAGGGAGGGCCCCATCCTACCGAACCAGTCTCCCATTGCAGTTCCTAATTTTCGTTCGCAGACCCGTGTATAGTATTTGTTCAGCTCATGTCCTAGCTTTGCTTCTAAACCATGCCAGTCTATAAGTTGATTATATTTTTTGTAAAAAAAAATAGAATAATATGAAATTTTTGCTTTAAAAAGTTTCAGTTATTGAGAAGAAATAGCAAAATAAAAAAATAAAAAAATCCATTAAATATGTCTTATTTGGCTCGTCGTTGGATTGATACAACATTTTAATCATTTATATTCTTTTAAACGAATCTTACGACAAGAAATAAATAGTTATATCGTGCATCAGATTAATTATCTACGTAATCTTTTTTTCTTTTTATTGTCTATGGCATGTTGCCATGATCTACAAGTTAATCACGTTGAATTTTTAACTCTGTGCCAGCAATGTCAGCTTCATGTTACCGTATCTATTGCTCTCGTCGTGTTAAATTATGTGGAGTTTAATTATATTGTACAATTTTCTCTTCAATTGAAGACCGGTAACAATATGAAGTACAGTTAATGTAATTTCGATTTTTCATTATAGTGAAATATTTGCAGCAACGAGTACATTTATGAACATTACTTGATTTGATCATTTCACTCTATTTGGCTTTCAAAATTGAAATTAGGTCTTAACCGGTAACAATATGAAGTACAGTTTTGCTTATTGCATAACGACGAGGAAAACGAGGGCAGACATGAATCGATCTTTTTCGATTTAGAGTACTAATCTATCATATGCAATGTCCTAGAAATAAAGACTCTTGTTTAGGAACTTTCATGGTTGAGATTTCATATGTATTCAACTTTTGCTTACATTTTGTGTACTAAATTAGAACACGAATTTTCCTTTAGTCCGTCCAACGTTGTCCCCTTGCCTTAACCATTTATGGGCCCTATTAGGTTTACTTTTCTAGTTTAGCACATTTATAAATATTAATTTTAAGTACTTAAACGACCATGAATTGACATTGAACCGCACAAATTAAAAAATATTTTGTACGTAAATGCAAAACTTTTTCCTACTTTTTAACCGTACATTTTTTTTAAAAATCATCATTCAAAACTCTATTTTTGAAAAGTATGGTTGTCAAACAGACTATGTTTTGAACTGAGATTTGAGGAGAGTTTTCAAGAAAGAATCAATATAGGAACCTTAAATTGATGCTTGTTTGGAAATGCTTATAAGTACTTATAAGCTAATCAATTTTTATTTTTATCAATCACAACTTTTACCCACCTTTGCCCTCTTATTATCCACGTATTCTTTAGTACTCACTCAACTTTTAGTGCGTTAGAGGTTGTATTTTAGACCTTAAGTTGTTAGAAAAGATGTCCTTTTTTTGGGGATAAAATCGACTGAAAAAACCCTGAAACCCGATCTTGGGTTGAAGGGCCGGTTTTCCAATACAAGGATTTTAATCAACAACTCAACCGGTTTCTGATATATCTGTTGAACTAGTTGGTATGATTTAATTTTCAAAATATTGTACAAGAAGCCTCAAACATCACACGAATCATAGTTGTCAAATTCCATATTAATTATATCCACCAGAAATTTGAATACAAAATCACACAATAAAAGTAATGAAAGTCTACATTAAATATTTTTTCCACTCAAGCTAGGGAGTCGAGGGACGGAGGTCGATTTCTTGTGTCCAAACGGACCGATCCTGACTATGCAAGTGCCAATAGGTCTGAGCCACCACGTCCGGGTCCATACACTCGCTCCCGAAAGTTGAAGTCGATGGCATAAAGCCCCTGCCATGTTTACACAATTGGTCAATTATTCATTATATAAGTTGATAGTAATCCTTGCATATTTGGAGTAAATTATGAAATACAATTATAGGGTTGTAACTTTTATGGATAGATAAGATCATGTTGTGACTTTTGAATCTGTTCGTTTCAAGGAAGAATTCAAGACCGAATTATATGATCCAGCAGATGGATTTCATGGATTGGTGTAGTCTCGTCGTGGAACTGTTTGTGACTTTGTTACGTGCACGAAAGTATTCAAACCGAACATACCGAGGTGCGCTGCCAACAATGCCGTAGATGATAACATGTGCAACATGTACTCCCTGATGTTGGAACTCTCTTGCCAAGCATTGTGATAACCCTCTCATTGCAAACTTCCCACAACCTAAAATCATTGTAGTATTAATCAAAACAACATTAACAACCATGTATTTTGTAGCACTAGACGTTATCTTGTCCAATACTGTGTATCAAGTATGTTGTAGATAAGTTTATTAATGTACTCAAATCGGGGTAACCAGCAATGCCGTTAAGAGATGCGGAACAACCGGTGAAGAGTATTGTTCCTCTCCCTCTATTTACCATGCCTGGAAGTACCTGAAATTCCCATTTCCATTCCATGCACAAAAGTTAAAAAAAATTCCCAAATATGAAACCCTGATTATCAAGATTTTTCTCGTGCAGAGTTAAACAACTAATTCTATCAAAAGTCGCAACTAGTCATAGGAGAAGTGCAACCAAACCCTTCTTTCGAAACGAGATTTGATAAAGGATTTGACTGCGACTCTCCTTATACGAACCTGTTGAGCGCAGTGGAAGGGGCCTACAGACGAAACTGCAAAGGATTTCTCGAAATGATCGATTCTAATATCAGTGAAATGTTTAGGTTTCCAAGAAACGGGCTGGTATGCGTTGTAAACCAAAACTTCAACAAAACCCAGTGACAGAACCCCTTCAAATGCCTCTCTTATGCTTCGAGAATCCGAACAATCGATTCGGATTGCAAATACTTGTGTCTTTTCTTCTCTAGCTATTTCATCAGCAAATTTTGACAGTCTACCTGTCTTAGTTAAGTACATGATATGACACACTTTACCATATAGAGTAACGGAGAGATATAGAGAGAGAAAGGGATACTGGCCTAGGTCGCGGGCAAGGATGGCGACGGTGTAACCTTCATGGGCGAATTTGCGGGCGATGGAGCGGCCGAGGTTCGGGCCGACGCCGACAATGGCTGCAATACCCTTGGACGAGGCGGAGCTGGCCATACTACGCATCCTTGTTAGATTTTACCAAACACAAAAGTAGATAGCTGCAGTCAGTGACTCAAGTGTCTGGGTTTTGTTGGTTGAGAATGAAATCACTCTTGTGCAATCAAAACTTATTTTCATTGGCATATTCTCTCAATAACATAATTTCACACCGAAACTCAATTTTTTCTTTTATTTTTTAACAACACATTTAAAAAAAATTAAGTATCACAAAATCTGTTCTCCCAAAAATGGGACCAAACAAACCCTAAGGATGAGGTACTAGCAAAACAAGCATCCTTTTGTAAAAGAATTTTGTAAAAAGCGACAAAAGAGTTCTACAAAGAAAATGATTGATGCATACATTACTCAATTGCATTGTAACTATCCTGTTGTAAAAAGAGACAAAAGAGTACTGAAAGGAAATAATTTATGCATTACCCAATTGCATTGTAGAACGATTAATGCTTGAGATCCTTCTTTTAAGGGGAAAAAATAAGGTTACTACATTGTAATTAAGCTAGGAAACTATCGTGAGTATACGAGACATAAAAAAGAAACCAATCCAGCATGGATGGCGTATCACGGTTCACACACAATAAAGTTCTCTAGAATTCATCACAAAAAATTTCAATCAAGGGAGCAATCAACTAGGCATGTATATTCCTAACAAAATACAAAGTTATATTTAGGGTCCGTTTGATTGCAAGAATGGAATTTGGGTTGAAAGAAAATGAATTTTATGGAATTGAATTGCCTAGAACTTGTTTTACTGAAAATTGTCAATTAATTGTGTTTGATTTGTATAATTTTTTTACTTGAAAAATATTGAAATTTTGGATCTTTTAGTATTTTTTGGCTTTATTTTTTATGAAAATTGTCCATTAAAGGGATAAAATTTGTTACAATTTGGGATATAATTTGTTTCCATTGTACAAAAAAAAAAAAAAAAA